TGCACCATGGGGATGGAGCTGGAAGGGTTCTGAGTGTGCACCATAGAGATAGAGTATGGAGTGGATTATGCTGTTGACACATTTGTGGTCTGAGTTGATTTCAGAGATTTTTTTTCTAATAGGAGAGCCATAATAATTTTGTTTTTTGTTCTTTGTGTGTGTGTTTAGGACACTATTGATTGAGAATTCTTTTTTTGTGTGGAGGGCTAGTCTGTGCATTTAGGTCATTTAGCAGCATCCCTGTCATCTACTCATTAGATGCCAGTAGTGCACCTACCCACCCAACACACACAGGCACTTATGACAGTTAAAAATGTCTCTAGACATTGTCAGATGTCCCCTTGGTATAAAATCATCCTTGTTGAAAACCACTGAATTAAAAAAGAAAAAGAAAGAAAGAAAGAAAGAGAACAAAAGAATTTGACCTCTACCTCATATAGTGCAGAAAGTTAGCTCCAGGCAGAGTATATATTTAAGTCTAAAAGTAATCTATAAAGCATTTAGAAGGTAATGTATAACTATAGCTGGTGGGCCCAATGTGATCTACCTTTGTTTTTGTTAAAAAGGCTTTATTGGGCACAGTCACACCCATTAATTTACTATTGTCTACAGCTTCTTTTGTATTAAAATGGCAGAGTTGAGTAGTTACTACATACCTATTGGTCTTCAAAAAACTTAAAATATTACCTAGCCCTTTACAGAAAAAGTTTGCTGACACCTATGATACAAGAATATTTTCATGACATAGGTTAGAGAAATATTTCTTAAGTAAAACAAAATGTTCTAATGATAAAAGAAAAGATTTTAAAATGGGCTATATTAAAATCGAGAACTTCAAGAACAAAGTTGGAGGACGGTACCTGACTTCAAGACTTATTATAAAGCTACAGTAATCAATACAGCCTGGTATTGCCAAAAGAATAAACAAATAGATCAAGAATAGAAAGTTCAGAAATAGTCCCACAAAAATACTGTCAACTGATCTTTGACAAAGAAGCAAAGGCAATACAATAGAGCAAAGACAGTCTTTTCAACAAATGGTGCCAGAAAAACTGGACATCCATATGCAAAAACTGAATCTAGACACATAAAAATTAACTCAATTAACTTATACCTTTCATAAAAATTAACTCAAAATGGTTCACAGACCTAAATATAAAACACAAAACCAATAAAACTTCTAGAAGACAGCATAGGAGAAAGTCTAGATGACCTTAGATGTGGCGACGGCTTTTTAGATACAACATCATAGGCACAATCCATGAAAGAAAGAGTTCATGAGCTGGACTTCATTAAAATTAAAACTTTGCTCTGCAAAAGATACTGTCAAGAGAATGAAAAGACAAGCCACAGACTGGGAGAAAATATTTGCAAAAGACACATCTGATAAAGGATTGTTATCTAAAACATATAAAGAACTTAAAACTCAACAATAAGAAAGCAAACAACCCAATTAAAAAATGGGTAAATGACCTTACCAGACACCTCACCAAGGAAGATATTACAGATGACAAATAAGCATATCAAAAGATGCTCCAAATCATAAGCTATCACGGAAATGCAAATTAAAACAACAAGGAGATACCACTAAACACCTACTAGAATGATCAAAATCTAGACACTGACACCACCAAATGCTGGTGAGGATGGGGAGCAACAGGAACTCTCATCCATTGCTGATGGGACTGCAAAATGGAACAGCCCCTTTGGAGGACAGTTTGATGGTTTCTAGCAAAACTAAACATACTCTTACCATATGATCCAGCAATTGTGCTCCTTAGTGTTTACCCAAAGGAGTTGAAAAATTACGTCCACACAAAACCTGCACATGGACACTTTGTAGTTTATAATAGCTTTATTCATAACTGCCCAAACTTGGAAGCAACCAAGATGTTTGTCAGTAGGTGAATGGATAAACTGTGGTGCATCCAGACAATGGAATATTATCAGTACTAAAATTAAATGAGCTATCAAGCCACGAAAAGACTCGAGGAATCTTGGATGCATATTACTAAGTGAAAGAAGCCAATGTGAAAAGGCTACATACTGTAATCATACAGTAGCCTTCAAACTATATGACATTCTGGAAAAGACAAAACCCCGGAGACTGTATAAAGATCAATGGTTGTCAGAGGTTGGAGGGGGTATGAATAGGAGCACCAAGGATTTTAAGGAGAGTGAAACTACTCTGTATGATACCACAGTGGTGGATACATGTCATTATACATTTGTCCAAATCCATAGAATGTACAACACCAAGCGTGAACCCTGATGTAAACTATGGACTTTGGGTGATGATGATGTGTCAATTTTGATCCATCAATTAAAGAGTTTTAGAAAATGGGAAAGGGAAGTGCATACATATATAACTGTTGTCACCGAAAAAGTCACTAAATGAGTGAGGGCTCTGCCCCCTGAACTTTTTTCTCCTTCTGTGAGTCAGAAAAGATTGGCTCAGCATTTCCCCTAAAATTCAGAGGGCATCTCTGCCCCTGCCACCTCTGTGTTTTTATCCCCGCTACCAGTGGTGGCAGAATCAGGCTGCAGAAGTTTGGGGCAGGGCAGGAGTAGGGAGGGCAGGGCAGTGTTGGGTGACCACAGGCTGCTCAAGACCAGACTAAGGGTCACTCATTATGGTGACAATGATGGTAATTATCTTGTTAACTGAGCATGTGCTATACACTGGCACTGCTCTAAATGCTTCACAGGCATTCCTATCACACCCCTTTTTCACTGAGATGCAATTCACATACCATAATATTCACCCTTTAAGAGTATACAATTTGGTGGGTTTTAGCTAAGTCACAAGATTGTGCAACCATCACCACTACCTAGTTCCAGAACATTTCCGTCACACCACAAGGGAAGCCTGTACCCATCAGCAGCCTCCAGCCCAGGTTACCTGAGTGTCTACTGCAGTCTGCAATCAGGACTAAGGCAGAGGGTAAACTCAGCAGAAGACCAACCACAGGGTGGGGTGTGGGGTGGGGAGGGTGCCCATCAGAGCTGTGGGTCCTGTGGAGCCTCAAGACTCAGGCAGAGCCAGGCCAAGGTCTGTCGCTGTGAGGCAAAGATTTTGGCAGAAATGGTCCCCTTTCCCCAGGGAATGGCACCCAGGGTACAATGGAGGCTGGGTATGTGCCAGGGGTAGAGGAGCTATCTCTGGGATCTGGGAGAGCCAGGTATGAGTACATGCAGTGTGCATGAGGTGGGAGGTGCCCTGAGACTGGGGATCAGGTATGAGTACATGCAGTGTGCATGAGGTGGGAGGTGCCTTGGAGACTGGAGATCAGGTATGAGTACATGCAGTGTGCATGAGGTGGGAGGTGCCTTGGAGACTGGAGATCAGGTATGAGTACATGCAGTGTGCATGAGGTGGGAGGTGCCTTGGAGACTGGAGATCAGGTATGAGTACATGCAGTGTGCATGAGGTGGGAGGTGCCCTGAGACTGGGGATCAGGTATGGGAACATGTAGTGTGCAGGTAGTGGGGGGGGCTGGATCCAGGTGTGGGTACATGTTCAGTGGGGGAGGTGCCCTAGGGACTGGCTGGGACTGGAGGGCAGTGTGGGAGCCACCTCCAGGCTGGAAGTTGAATTGTTCACATTCTTTGTGGTTGGGCGAGGGATAAAGACATTTTTGTGGGCAAGAGCAAAATTGTTGGCCTTGGAGCTTAATATTTTTTTATCAGTCTTGGCTCTAGGCTAGATTAAAAGACTTCGCAGGGCAGACAGAAGTGGGTTTGAATAACGCTGGTGTGAATAGTCGGGGGAAATACTGACGCCGCTGCATGTGTCTCTGACCCTGGGCCATGTGTGGAGGTCGAAGGTTGTCCCTGTGTTCTCTGGCACCCAGTTGCCTTCCGGGGGTTGGTGGCCTGGGTCCAGTTGGCACAAGCTTGCTGCCAGATCTGCAACTCAGCTTCTCTGCTGTTAGCACCCAGGGCACCCTGATGAGGCACGATCCCCAGTCTGCAGGGGGACGGGTCTCCACCCCCCTGCAGGCCCCGTAAGGTGCTTTGAACATGCTCGGGATTCGTGCAGCCAACTTTCTCCCCTGTCCAGGTGCTTGTGGAACAAAGAACCCACCCAAACATTCAACATCTTGGATTGCAAAGACCTCCTGACTCGGTTGAACAGTGTTGGTTCTTTAAGCTCCAGACGGAGGAGTGTTGCTCTTTGAGGTCCTTGCTGTGTGACCCCAGACGTGTCGGCCACAGGAGTAGCATGGTGGCTCTGCCAGCTTATTATTATTACTAATATTCAGCCAGGTGTATCAGACAGAGGCCAGCGTCAGCCCTCTTAATTAAGAGGAATTTTCTTCTTCATGCCAAATGTCTTCTTTCCCATTTAAAAACCCGGAGGGTGGGCAAATAGGAAGTGGGGGACCACATCCTGGTCCTGAGGAGGCCACGGCTATGCTGGGCCACAGTCAGATCAGGCTCTCCTGGAAAACACTTGGGCACGTGAGTCTAAACTTAACAGAATAGTATTCATGCTAACTAAAGACAGCTCACCACACTAGTGGCCAGGGCTTTTGCTTCCTGGTCCATAATCAATAGCCTTTTCAAGATCAATTAGCCAGACTCCTGAGGCCTGACTCACCCTGAGTTTGCGGTATTCTATGTTTGTCGCTTTCTTATTTGTAATGTGTTGTTTGCCTTCTTTAGAGGACGCTTTCTATGTGATGTATTTCTATACGGGGCTGACTATTTTGTCTAATAGACAGAACTGCATTCATAGCCAGCAGGGGGAGCAGGAGACTGTGTCTTTTAAAAAACGCTGTTTTCCCTCCCTCACCCCCTTCTCCCCCTCCCTATCTCTTTTCCTCAGTGATCTAGAACTGTCATTTAAGGACTCTGGTCTTTCACTCCACCCAGATTTGATTGTCTACAAGGTCTATGCTCACCTACTGCCTCAGATGGCCACATATGAGGCCCTCCATCAATAGCTGTTGGTCTGTCATAGGTAGAGCTGCACCCCAGGCTCTGGCTGAAGGGCCTGAGAAGCTGTCCACTCCAGAGGCCACTTAGAGCAGAGGTTGACTCTTAGGGGTAACCTTACAGGTGTCCGACAGAGCAGACCGGGTAGCCTCTAGAACACTCCATGAAGGATGACACCTGGAAGCCAGGACGCCTTAAATAGGAAACAGAGCCTCAGGTAGCAAACCCCTCTCCAGGTGTGATGGTGGGTTTGGAAAAGACGACACACACACAGACCGCAGTTAGCTCACAGGCCTTGGAAGCAGCATTTTATATTTGAGCCAGAGCGTCTTTTTGTTCCGAGCAAATAAATGCCAGAAAAACACAGCATTGAGGGTGGAGACCCTGCCCCTTCTTGGGGACACACATAAATATATAAACATTCAACACATTCCCTTTAAAAGTGATCCTCACCCATGGATATCCCTGGCCATATTTCCTTTGCAAAATGATAATAATAACTAACTAGGAGGAAATGAAACTTGTTTTTTTGGTTAAGTAATAACAGAACACCAGAATGAGGAGACTCCAGGTAGAAATTTTGGCTGCATTTGGTGTCTGGTTTAAATGCTGGGCGAGGAGGCCAAGCAAAGGTGTCACCCAGGCCTTGGTCACCTGGGGCTCTGTCCTCACCACTGGCTCTGGCCTCTCCTTGCCATGGATGTGCCCAGGGAGGGAAGGAGGATACAGCCTTCTGAAACATTCTCCTGATGTCTCTAGGAGGCTGGCCACAGAAGCAGGTTTTGTAGGCGCTGCTTTGGCTTTTTAACAAATGAAAACAAAATATTTTTTCAAATCTATCCACTCTGTGTCACGGTGCGTAGGGGGGAGGCTTTTCCCCTGGGAGGAAAGGGGCTGGGGCATAGAGAGGTGAGGCGTTGGGCGGAAGCCCGAAGCTGGAGCTGGACTGGGACGGAGGCTGTGCGTCCTCGGACAGAGAGAGGTCAGTGGAGGGCGAGGCTGGGAAGCTGCTGGACGGCTGCAAGTGAACAGAAAAGGCTTCCTCAGTCAGTGGAGAGAGCTGGCCACACACCCAGTCCATGTGGAGTGCCCCTGCAAGGGCCTGCCTGGGGCTCAGGCTCCCCCCAAGGCCCGGGGTCCCCCACCGAACCAAGGCCCTTCTAGTGAGAAGGCTCCCTGATCAGAGCACATTCCCAGGGAAGCAGGAGGGAGGGCCCATCCTGCCCAGCTGGAGCCCGCTTCGCACAAGCTCTGTTCCCAGAGCTGCCTGTGGAAACGCCCATCTGTGGAATTCTGCAGATTTCCCAGCCCCAGGCTCCTGCTGTGCGTGAGTCTTGACTTTCAAAGGGATGGCCTTGTACCAGACAGACACCGGGATGCACAGGAGTGTGGACATATACAAGGAGAAAGCTGGCCAGCTCATCTGGGAGCCGCTGGGTCCACTCAACACTTCATACTTCAAGGGAAAAAAACAAGAGCTCAGCATTTTCAACCTAGTGTGAATATTAATTTTATGTGCCAACTTGGCCAGGCCTCGGTGCCCAGATGTTTGGTCAAACACCACTCTGGATGTTGCTGTGAAGGTAGTTTGTAGATGCGATTGACACTGAAATCATTAGACTTTGAGCAAAGCAGGTCACCTTCCACGATGTCAGTGGGCTTCATCCAATCAGTTGAAGGCCTCAAGACAAAAAGACAGGTTCTTGGGGAAGAGGGAATTCTGCCTTTGGAATTCAAACTGCAAGATCCATTCTTCCCCAGGCCTCCAGCCTGCCATCCTGCCCTGCAGGTTTTGGACTCTATCTCTATCTCTTTATTTCTCTATCTATATATCTAATTTATACCTATGTGTATGTCTATATATGTGCATCCATCCTATTGATTCTGTTTCACTGGAGAACCCTGGCTAATACATAGACTCAAGTAAAAGTGATTCTGAGAAGAAAAATCTTGGGACATGGCACAGACGTTAAATCAATCAAATCTCCAGGTTTTCCACCTGCCAACAAACCTCGTAAATTTTTTTTCTTAAGTTCTAAGGGCCCAAAACACCTACTTAAAACCAATATTTTAATAAATTAAGCAAACACTCCCTTCTGTGAAATAACATAGGGTGACTGTTTAAGGGTTCTATCTACGGGCAGTGCTGTATGATCCTTTTGCTCTCTGCTGCCAGGTGCCCAGGGCCCAAAGAGGCCAACCTATTTGCCATGCCTCTTCCTGGACACTTCCCTACTGGGACATCAGGATTCTGAAAAGAGAGTATCTTTCCGAGCTGTAGCTGAAGCCAAGAATGTCACCCCACTCAGGGTTGATGGCCTGGGCTTTTGGGACCTGACAGCCCAGGGCCCATTTCTCTCAAACTTCGTCTGACCATAGGGACAAAGGAAACTTCTAGAGAACTTTCTCTCAGGTCTGCTGGGAGCTCCCAGATCCTACCAAGCATGTGTCTGCTCAGTTCTTCACTGGAAATTAGAACCTGAGAAAACCACAGCATAAACCACCCCAGACCATGGAGTAAACCACTAGGAACCACAGCATAAACCACCCCAGACCATGGAGTAAACCACTAGGAACCGCAGCATAAACCACCCCAGACCACGGAGTAAACCACTAGGAACCACAGAGCAAACCACCAGGAACCACGGAGCAAACCACCAGGAACCATGGAGTAAACCACCAGGAACCACAGAGTAAACCACCAGGAACCACAGAGTAAACCATCAGAAACCACGGAGTAAACCACCAGGAACCACAGAGCAAACCACCAGGAACCATGGAGTAAACCACCACAAATCACAGAGTAAACTTCTGGAATCACAGAGTAAACCACCAGGAACCACAGAGTAAACCACCAGGAATCACAGAGTAAAACATCAGGAACCACACAATAAACCACCATAAATCACAGATTAAACTGTCACAACCCATGGAGTAACATACCAGAAACTACAGAGTAAATTACCCTGACAGACAGGGCTTCACCAGGACAAGATCTGCTGCCCACACAGACACCCTCATCAGGGGAGTGGACAAGACAGCCCTTAGTTACAGGATGTGAGCTAAATTTCTGCTTATGTCTTTGTTCATAAAAATTCATCAATGCCTAGCCCTTCCCTGATTTTCCTGGCCAGACAACCACCAGAAGCAAGGAAGGTGGGTTCCCTTTAAGATTTTCCTTTTGGCCAACTACTCAGAACAGGCTCCCAACAGCTATCTCACTCCTTGCTATTATGTGGGAGTATTCTCTTTTTTTTTTTTTTTTGCTTCTAATGACTTCAACAGAACACTTAAAGTATTCCCTTTCCCTTGCTGTTGGTCAGCAAAAATAGAAGCATCAATTCTGTTGTTTTTCTCTTAAGGAAACACATGAAGCCTCATTGATTTGTCCTCTCCTCAAAATCTGATTATTGATGCATATGTAGTTATGCTCCCACATGAGCTGGCAATAAAAGCTGACAAGGCTACTGGGAGGAGAGCACAGGCCTCGCCCGGGAGGTTAAAGAGGGGGACAGCTGCTGTTTGTGAAGAGCCGGAGGACCCTGATGGTGAACGAGGATGGAATACGATACCAGAATAAAGCGAATCCATTCATCAGCACCATGTTTCATGGATGGAAGACCATCTGCCCACATCCCACATCCCTACAAAGATCAAGTCTGTCTCCTAAGGAAACACGTCGTACCTGCAAGAGCAGGGTGCCCGCCCAGCACCCTCAAATCAGGCTCCAGCCTTATCAAGAGCCCCACCTGGAAGCACCGTTTATTTGGTGCTGGTTCCTTCAGTTGACATATGAAGCTATGTGACTCCATAACAAATGACCAGGGTCTGAGCCCCCACCCCCAACCTTACCCCTGTTTATCCACAGACATCCCCCGCCGCCACCACACCTGAGCACAGAAACACAATTCCTCACATATATTAATATTGTAACTTCTTAGAACTTATTGGACATTGGTGTAACCATTAATATAGGCAAAAGAATGTGTACTGAGTCCATCTGGCTGCATCACCCCCCTAAAATGGAAGCCTAGATAAGTTGTCTGGACCAGTGGTTCTCACCTTTGCTCCCTGAGGACACTGGGAAACATCTGGATACATTTTTTGGTTGTCACATCAGGGTTGTACTGGCAGCTGGTGGGTGAGGGCCAGGGACACTGCCTAATATCCTACAGCGTACAGGGCAGCCCCACCCCACAGAGCTATCTGGTCCCAATAGCAACAGTTGAGGGTGCCTGCTCTGGAGTCCATAAAGTGACAGATTATCATGGTCTATTTAAACCATGGCATGGACAGAAGCTTCCTAGAATGTAAAGAAGGAAAAGCCAAAACCATGAATGGATATGGAAGGACAATGCAAACGCTCTATAAATAAGGTTTTGCTCCACCAAATATCCCTCTTTCTACAACAGCCCCTAAGACCAATAGAATTATGTTAGGGTGAATCTATGAAATCACCACTTTTGTGGGTCAAATGTGGTTGGGTATTGGCCAATGCACAAGACTCCACCTAAATAACTTTGCTATGTGGACAGGACCCGGGGTCATGGTGGTATGTTCCTCGTCCCTCTGGCCAGGATTTTGCAACGAACTTTTGTTTGACCAGGTTGTGGATTAGAAAAGGCTAGAGGTCCAAAGGACACCAATGGCTGAGTCGTCAGGGCCACACAGAGCAAAGGATGCCCAAGATGCCAAATGGAGCCGTTGAACATCCATGTGAGAGGGCTGTGTGCGGGGTTACCCAGCATGTCTCCCCTCAGATGGCCCCCAACCCCCTTCCCAGTCCATGCTGGCTCTGCCACCCTGTTACCTACATCCGGAGAGGGGAAGCCCTAGGTCCACCCTGTCTTCCCTCAATCCAAGCCCCCCTCCGAGTCCCATCCAACCAATGCTGCCGTGCATGACTGCTGCCCGCGACGTGAGCATGCCAGCTTTAGGCAGGCAACGCTCAGCCTACCTGGAGAGGCAGAGGGTACGACGAGCTGGTGGGCAGGTTCGTGGGTGCCGGGCCGAAGCCCGCGTAGGCCAGGATGTGATGGGCAGGGTTGTAGAGGATCTGAGGAGGAGCAGACGTTCCATAGGCCAGCTGGGACAGAGGGATCTGCCACACAGGACGGAGACACATCAGCCGGCCCTCCCACAGGTGGGGCACCCTCGGCCTCAAGCCGTCCCTCTGGGGAGACCTGTCCTCAAGCCATTCAAAAAGGTGGAGTCCACCCTACTATGGAGTCTGCCTGTGGGGGATGCTGAGAGTCCTCAGATCAATATCTCTCGGACCAGATCTAAACATCTAAAAACAGGGCTTATTTTTGCTTTTTATTTTCTTTGTTTGTCCCAGGGACCCACCAAAATGTCAGGTAAGGCCCAAGCTCTCTTTGATGCTTTTTGAAAAAGCAAGAAAACCACCAGCTCCTCCTCTCCAGGTGCGTGCAGGTTTACAGGCACCTCCTAACAGCAGCATCAGCCGCAGTGGGGGGACAGACGTCACAGGTACTCTCAGATCTGGTCAGCTGGGCTTGCTCCCGCATAGGCCACCCCAGGGGTTCCTGCAGAGCCGCAAATAAAAGCAAAGCATTCCCTATTCCTCAGAGCTTGTGCTTAGTTGGCTCACTTGGAGGCTCTAATTCTCAAAAAGAAAAGAGGACTTGGGCCTGATTCCCAGCCACCCACTCATCCCCCAGAGAAAACAGGCCATAGAATGGAGCCCTCACCAGAGGGAGACCAGTCACTCACATGGGGTACTCAAGGGATTCCCAGACTAGAAGTGCGTCCCTCTCTAAAAGGACAGAACCTGGATCCCACCTGACACCTATAGGGCAGACACTGCCGTGACTGAGAGAGGCTGGGACAACAGAGGTGAGTTTTCCGAAAACTCATCACCACCCACTGAAGGTCGTGAGGAGTGGTGGTGGGAGAGAAGGGAAGTCCAGAACCTGGAACCGGGCTCAGAACTTCAGGGCAATGCTAACCAGCCAGGAAGGAGGCAGGCCAGGAGGAGATGGCAGAGCTGCGTCTGCCTGCTTACCACCCGACAGCCGAGGGACGACATGGGGGGTCAGTGCATGGGTCGTCACTGCCCTACCCCACCCAGGGCCCACCTTCTGCACATCCTGAGCTCAAACACCCCCTCCACCAACAGCCCACCCCCCAGGAATGCAGGCATCCCCCTGGAAGGAGTTTGGATTAAACAATAACAGTTATTATTACCCTGCCAGGCCCAGCCCTATGTGCTCTTCCCCAGGAATTAAGCACACATCTGCTGCCCACTGCTGAATCTGTTTTGAGAGTTAGTTAGACTCAGAGAAGCAAATAGGGCAGCACGAAAACAAGGAGAAAAAACGGAAAACTCAGGGCCGGGCTGGGCCCGCACTCCCAGCTGCCTCGATGCCATATACATCAACAAACTCTGCTGAGAGCCTCCTGCATGAGCCAGGATGATCTAATAGCTATCCTGGCACAGCTGGAACTGGGCCCCACAGAGGGGCTGGGTGGGGGGGGCATTCTGGCTGGAGGGAACAGCTGCAGCTGGAGGCCTGGGGGCCTCGGGCAAGCAGGACTGGTCAAGGTTGGGGGCCGAGGGTCACAGAGCACTTCCTGGGCCGGAGAAGAGCCTGCCTGGCCTTGTCCAGCATTTGGGTTTGGGGAGGATGAACAGGGCTGGGTCGGTGGCGGGGTCTCCCAGGAGGGAGCTAAGCATTTTGGCATGGGCTGCTTCACGCTGGAGGACTGACAGTCACTCTGTCTGTGGGGGGCACTGGGAAGCCCAGCCTGACTTTGACCCTTATCTGTCTGGTCTTGTCCTGACTGCTCGTCCACCTTTCTTGCCCCTGAGCCTGGCCATATGAGTAACCATGAGAAGACCCCAGCTGGGCCAGCAGGACTGCCCACCTGCATTTCTCAATGTGCCTGAGGCTCATTGCAGACCCTTCCTCATTAGACTGGGTTTAAATGACTGTGTACGTAAGTGTTGCCGTGTTACCGAGGCACCAGCCTCAGGAGACCCTCTGCAGACCCTGGAGACACCTCACGCCCTGCCTGCCAGGTACACAAAATACCCCTCTGGCACCCAGCTCCTGACAAGCATTTGGTGGCCTGCATAGGAAGCTTTTATATGCTGAGAGGGTATGCACTGCTTTCAGCTGGTTCATGAAGGGCCATCATTTCTTCAAATAATGTTTAAATTATTAAATCCATTAAACTTACCAGAGGACCTACTCAGTAGGTGTAAAATTTTAAGGGATCACCTTTCTTGCTTCTTACAACACCCCAGAGCTTTGGGTTTGAGAAAGAAAATTGTCCAGAGCAGACAGTTTAGACACACTCTATGGTCTGGTATGACGAGTGGCTCTTTTGGGGCATCACGACATTCCAGATAGAACTCCCTAGCAATTTTATTATAAACTCTAATGAACATAAGAGCCCCTCTGGAAAACCCACCGGGCTGACTGCTGTCCCAACAACCTTCAGGGAAAGCAGAACTCTAACTAGGCACATCGGGCATCCAACCTCCAGTCTAACCTTGCTCTTCTCCTAGAAAACCTGCCAAGAAAGAAAACTGAACAGGCTACAGCAGAAAAAGCCCCTATACTGAGGATTTTCACAGAAGACACCCTGTGGGACGCTCTATAGACCCCAGGCACCCTGACCTGGGAGAGCAGTTAACGCCTACAGAAGACATTGCTGAAGGCATGGTGATGGTGACTTTCGTCCTTGAAGGATGCTTATCTTGTATGAGTTTAAAGAAATCTTGCGACCGAGGTCTGAGCTTGGAGAGGCCATCTGCACCCTCTAGGATGGCAGCCAGGAGAAGTTTGGTTCCTAGGGGATTCCGGGCTCCCCCATGGTATTTCAGGTTTTATCTAAGGAAATGAAACCTTCAAAAAAAAATCACAGATCTCAGCAGGGCTTCAGACTAAGCTACTAAAAATGGCCAATGACCAAAGTCTCCAGAGTAGCTGGATAGCAAGAGATCACTCGGGAAAGAGTTTTAGCTGCAACTGCCTGTTTGGGTTTGGCCTGTGGGGGACTTGTCTGCATGTGTGTTAGGACTGGCCTTAGAGTTAAAATCAGGTGATGGGTGGGTGGCTCCTTGTCTTGGAGCTGTCATGTGCACTTCTTGGTGTCTGACTGATGACACCAAGGGTTGCCCCTTCACCTGTGGCACTCTGTGGATGAAGGAAGACTTGTTGCAAGAGGTGCCCTCTGTGCACTGCATGAGCATATCCAGCTTGGAACAAAGCGGTCCCTCAGGGAGAGGACCAGAGGGGGATTCTTCCCGGGCCAGCCCCAGCTGTGAGGTGTTTTCCTGTGAAAAGAACCGTGCTGAGGGCGCTGCCTTGCAGGAGGGACTGAGCTAAAGCAGCCTTCACGGCACGGCCCTTGCAGCCACTGCCCCTTCCTGGAGCTGCTGACGCTTGAGGCCCAAACTCTAAAGCACCCGTTCTCCAGGGTTCTCACATTAGAATCACCTCTGAGGTTACTAAAATGCAGGTGCCAGCCATCCCCACCCTCCATCCCCAGATTTACCAAATCGGAGGCTCCACGTGCAGTTGGGTGAGAAATGGTGGAGACAGACGCATCAGAGCGTGAAGTCCTGGTCCTTTCTCTCTAACTGAACTTCTGTTTCCTAAATCGGATCATGCAGTGCAAGCCTCAGATGGTGGAGGAGATGCAAGTGTGTGAACAGGACCTACTTCCAGAAATGACCAGTGAAGTCTTGTTGTCATTATAACATACAGCTGGTGGTTTTCAGGAGCCTGTTTCCCTATTTGCACGGGAGGATAATGAAACCCACCTTGCCTGCCTCAGCGAACATGGGCCCTGAAGCCCTGCTCCGTCTGGAGTGTTGTCACGGCTCAGCCCTGGGGTGGCACTACTCACCATGTCCTTGAAAGCCCCCAGGACAGCTGCTGTGACAATCCCCAGGAGCAAGCCCAGGACGTTCAGCACGGTCGAGGCCCAGAGCAGCCGGTAGAGGTGGAGCACATCCCGGCAGCTGCTAACGCCCACGAACTCGTAGTACATGGGAGAATACTCGGTGCTGCACATGGGGAGAGAACAACAATGTCATCCACACCTGCGAGGAGGTGACCTTGCCACGCATATGACAGGGCGGGGCTGGGACAAGATAAACTGAACCCAGAAAAGCTGCAGGTCTTTGCCCATGAAGGACCTGAGGGCTCTGTTGGTTATGCCAGGGAGGGGCATCTCCCATCTGTACCCTGAGGTCATGGCAGCAAGGTTGTCCGCAGGGGTGTGGAAAAGGAGCCCAGGCCTTTGAGCAGGGGGGACAGCACCATCGTCATGCCCACTCCCCAAACACTGGCCCTGCAGAGGCAGTGGGGCCCCAACTGAGTCACCCTCAGAGCAGGCAGGGCGTAAAGGCTGACAGCTGAGTTCTCCCAACCCTGTCGCCGTGGCAGAGGGGGTTCATCCTGGCCCTCACGATGTGGACCTGAGGTGGTCTGTGCAGGGCCCTGGACCACAGCATCGTGGCCTTGAGCCAGCAGCCCGAGTTGCAAGAATCTGTGGGTGGTAGCCACAGTGATCCACACATGTGCTGCTCCTCTGTTTTGTCTTAGAAATAAGAAGGAACCCTCTTCTTGGGGGAGAGGATGCAGCCTAAACCCCTGGATTTTTCAACAACTCAGGGGAGGGTTCTCCAAGAAGCAAACTTTAATGTAGGTGTTCAAACTATTAATACAAAACGTAAAAGACAATGGAGGGAGGGTTCCATTCTGCAAGAAAGGGGTTTGGAACTTGCACCGAGTCCTAACAACAAGGAAAAAGCTGAACAGACTGAAAAAATCAACAACTCTTCTTGGATTGTAAGAGGGGAGGCTAGAGGACAAATTGTTGTCCCCCAGATGGGAGACAGACAGGCAAGTACAAGGAGCCTGGCTTCCTGGAGCAGAGACTCAGGAGCAGAAACACCATGGGACCCAGGGCTAGGGTTAGAAAACCAACCTGTAATGGATGAACTGCTGTGGACAAGTCTGGGTGTTAAAACCTGCAGGAGGACAAAGCCATGGGGCCCTCACAATATTCTGAGATTCTCCTCCAGGAGCTCAACCAGGTTCCCACACTAAATAGCAGAGAAAAATGACCCCAGTCTTCTAGCAGAGGTAGGGAAGGAACCGTTCCGAAATAACCAGAGCATTGGTTCTTCTCAACCAGCCCCGTCCTCAGGGAAAACTAGTTAACCAGAGCCTAACCAGCTGGGGCATTATCAGCTCCAGCCGTGGTGAGCCATCTGTCCCAGCTAAGGGGGGAGAAAAAACTGAGAAACACTGGTAAAGTTCATTCACAGTGAGCTCACAGGCTCACGGATAGAGACATAATCATGGGGCTTATAGAATGCTCCCCCTCTCCCACAGCTCTCCGTATCACTGAACCTCTCTCTCATCTGTGAAATAGAGCCAATGCCCTTTCCTCACATAAATGTCTGAGGACTAAAGTAGACGATATAGGTGCAGTGTCCAAGGACAGGGAAGACCAGAGCAGAGGGGAGGAGGGAGGGGCTGCCAGTGGTCATATCCAGGCGCCATAGGGGTCTTGACCCTCATTGGTCACCCTCCCTGGCCCCCCTCCCTGCCTCACTCACCTCTGGCAGTTGTAGAGGTCACAGCAGTAGCACGTGTTGCTCTTCACCTTCAGCTGGCACTTGCCATTCAGGGAGTGACAAGTGACCTGCAAACAGAGAGACCTTGTCAGGTCTCAAGGACCTGTCCCCCACGTGCTCACTCATTCTCACTCCAGAGTGGGCAGGACTACCTCCTTGAGAGCCAGAACCCAGCCGCTGTGCACTGTGCGCCAGTCAGTCAGGCAGCTCACCTTTCTGAGACTGTTTCCTTTCCTGACCGCCCCCTTCCTTCCCCCATTCCAGGTGCAGCAGGGCTGGGAATTGGCAGGGCCCTGCCCTACAGGAGGAGTTAGAAGACCAGGCTCAGCCACGCCAGGGAATCCATGTAGACAATAGTTGCTGGACAAGGAGAGTATTCTAGGTACCATGCCTCCAGGCAGAGACCCTCGAGGTGATTACTTCTCCAAGTGAAGATCTGTCCAGGTGGGGACCCCCCAGGTGGGCACTCCTCCAGACAGAAACCCCTCCAGGATGGAATAGGTGAGGATTGCTTCACGTGGGAACACTTCCAAATAGGGACAGGTGAGGACTCCTCCAGGTGGGGACCCTTCAGGTAGGACGCTTCCAGGTGAAGATAGGCAGAGACTCCTCCAGGCAGGGACAGGTGAAGCCTCCTCCAAATGGGACCCCTCCAGGCAGGGATTTGTCCAGGTGGGGATAGGTGGAACCTCCTCCTCATGGGCCCCTCCAGGTAGAACCCTTCCTCACCAGAGGACGGCTCCCAGCAGCCTGATCTGACCAAGCTGGCCCCTCCTAAGCCACACAGAGGCCTCCCCACAGGCTGCAAATGTCTGGAAGATATTTAATGTTAAAGGAGCAAGATTGGGGCAAAAACACGTGATTTCCTCCTTCCCTCAGTGCTATTTGATGTGGGGGCATGAATCGTGCCACCTACATTTGGAAAGTAAGCGGGGCATAGACCATCTGACTTCAGAAGGAGGACAGTGATGTTTGGGGAGAGGAAGGACCTTCCAAGGGAGGATTGTGCATCAGATGATGGGGGCAGAGATTTGAGCAGGTTCTCCAAGCTTTCCCTCTGCAGGAGCTGAGGTTGGCTTTGAGAGGCACAGACCCAGGCACACCAGATGCTAGAGGTCCTCAGGGCCTCCTTGGGGCCCTGGTGGTTTGGGAAGCTTTGGGGATCCTGGCTCCTCTTCAAGCGGCCCCGGGGTGGCACTTACATGGCCTTTTTTTCAAGTTTCTGTGGTTAACTTCTGGAAATCACACAAATTGGCAATGAGGCACTCTGGAGTGCTTCAGAAGAGTAGTGGAAAGATTAATTTGGAAATGGTACAGTAAACAGTCCCGAAGGGGCAGAGACCAGAGACGGGCCAGTGGGAGCCATGAAAGTAGCCCCAGTGTGACTGAGATTCAAAAGGGGACTAGGGCTGGGAGGCGTCACAGGTGAGAACGGAGGACTGGTGAGACAGTCAAGGGCAGGCACAGGGCGGGGGGGGGAAGGGGGGCAATGTTTGGCTCTGAGCCCAGCAACCAACTCATGGGAACGTCAAAGCCACAGGATGGGGAGCTGGAGTTTGAAAGGCCTAACCTTAACCCTTGATGTCCTCTGCTGAGAGTTGTCCCCTCTTTGAAAGTGTGAAGAGCAACAGCAGGGACAGTGGCTTAGAGCAGGGTCAGCCACTAGGGGCTTGGAGCCAAGCCCAGTCCACTGTCTCTTTTATAGGTGAAATCCTCCATCTCCACACTCAACCGTTTATGCATTGCCCATGGCTGCTCTGGCACTGGAGAAACAGAGTTGAGTAGCTGGACAAAGACCACCCAGCCTGTAAATCTCAGAATATTACTGACCCTTTACAGAGAAAGTTGCTGGCCCTTGGTTTGAGCTGTGTGGGCAGCTACAGCCCCCAAATCTTCAGGAGGCTTTTAAATCCCCCATGTCCTCTGAACCCCCCTCCCTAGAATGGGACCCAGCATCAGAATCTGCTCAGGCCCCTGGGCTGATTCCAGTTGGCAGTAGGGTTGAGAACCCTTGGAGGAGGGATGGAGCTGGGGCAGCCCCGCATGTGGGCTTGTCCTCAGAAGGCCTGATGAGCAGGGTCAGGAGAAGGGCCTTGCTTCTCTATGATCCCAGGAGCAGAGGGTAACAGTCAACCTTGAACTGGACTGAGCACATCAGGGTGAGCAGGAAGAAAGGAAAGAGCTGCATGAGGGCCTGTGGAGTACACAGTGTGCATGCACGTGGAGGGCCTGGAGAGCCTGTGACTCCCTTTAAACAGGACAGGTCCCCAGGGCTCCCTCCAGCCAGGAGAAGGGCCACGAGTGCTGGGACAATTCTTTGGAGGAAAACTATGCCACCTCCCTTGGAGGAGGGTAGCAGGGAGCCTCCAGCCAGCAGCAGAGGCCTGGCCATGAGGCTGCCCAGTGCCCCATGCCACAGCATGCAGAGTGACCCTTCTCCTCTCTTCACAGAGCACCCGAACAACCGTGCAGGGCGTTAACCACAGCATTTGCTCTCCGGGGTTCTCTCGGCTACTCCTGTCTGTCCTCCCTCCTTCTCTGACACTTGCATGCAGTTTGAGAGGCCATGTTTAGTTAAACCAGCAAATCTACTCAGAGCTGGAGTGAAATCGCCAGACAAAGGGAGCTACGTGCCCGTCTGCGATAGCCTAAGAGAAGATGGCGTGCCACAGTGCAATTACTCCTGGCATTTCACACAGCTAGAAATAGAAATGAAACCACCCTGCAAATGTCCTTGGCCCGGGAACAGTTTGTGAGTTTCTTGGCCAATGTAAACGTAGTATCTTAGCTCTTTATTACAGTGATTAAGTCAATAAAAAGTGCTCATTGGAGAAGCTGCACTGAACTGGACAAGTGGATTCTAGGGCTGCTATGTGTCCAAGAAGACAAGTCAGTAGCTGTGATTCCAAAATAAATATGACACATTAAGATATCAAAGCTAGCTCAAAACAAAGTGTTAGCTACAAATGCCTCACCATGGCACAGAGGGAAGACATGATGGGAAGAACTGTCAGAATCCAAACATTCAGGTTTTGACTAGGGACACAGAAAACTTTATGGGATCTACAGATGAGCAGAGTGAAACCAGACACATCAACCAGTGCTCTTGCTTACCTCTGTCTGGTAGACGTCGTGCAAGTACCCCACCCCACTGGAGTAAAACTGACATCTTCCCGAGGTGAGGGGCCTGGTTTCCTAGAGACAAACACAAATAGAATGGTACAGTTTCATCTCCAGATCAGAAGTGGCCAGATGCAATTTGAGACCTGTCTTCCATGGGCTCTGAGCCTAGAGGAGAGACACCAAAGCCAACTAGAACCTGCCAGATGGATAACATGAAGCAGGAAATACCACAGCTCATTCCAGAACAGCCTGGTTCCTGCATCCAGGAGGCAGGCAAGTAGAACACCCCAGGGGAACAGGCACCCTGTCCCTGAAGGCTGGGGTGACACATCTTCTCCCATCAGTCAATACAGGGCAGCAGAAGGGAGGTGGTTGCATGACATTTGAAGGTACACTCCCCAACTCTCAACAAGGAGACCCCTTGGCTCCTGCCTCTTTCCCTAAAAGCAGAAGATGTTTTTCTACTAGGAAGGGAGCAAGATGAATTTCAGACCAATTCACTCATTCGTCCAACCAGCCAATCATCCATTCACTCACCCAACCATCCATTTAATCATTTAATAATTCAATCATCAATGCATTGATCCCTCCCTCCATCCATCCTTCCATTCATCTATCCATCCATCCATTCATATACCCCTATCTCCATCCATCCTTCCCTATCCCTCCCTCCTTCCCTCCCTCCCTTCCTCCTTCACTCTATCCATCCATCCATTTGTCGGTCCATCCATCTGTCCATCCATCCACCCATCCATCATCCATCCATCCCTATTCATCCATCCTCTTCCTTCTCTCCCTCCATACATCTTTCCAACCACCAACCATCAAAGCACACACCCACCTATGGCCCTACCCAATTATCCATCCATGAGTCTGGCCCCAACATTCATGGAGCAAAGTGCCAAACTATAAGGTACCTTGATATGACACAATTCCTGCCCTTAGGGAATTAGTGAAGGAGACAGACAAACTGACAATTACAAAGTGCTTATAATTGCTATGGTAGAGAACAACAAGGGATGCACAGAAACTGTAAAATGCCATGACACTGTATAATCTGTAAGTTATAAAATGAGTTAGGATCCCAATAACAGTATTTACTTTTATTACTGCATTAGTCATATTTTTCAAAACATTCCTACTTCTGACCTAAGAAAAGAATATTAAAAAAAACCACCAGTGACACTGGCAATAGATAAGGACAGTCAAGCATTCGTTCATCAGGCAGCAGCTACTGATGGACTGGTACCACCATACTCCAGGCCTGTGCTAGACAACACAGCAGTGGGAGATGGAGCTGAGTCTCTGTCCTCACAGAGTCTATTTTCCCATGGGGAGACAGCAGAGCACAGGAAACGTGTGGAGCATGGAAGATGGTAGAGAAAGGGCTAGAGAGAAACACGAGGCCAGAAAGGAGGGGAGGGGTTCACCTACGGGGTCTTCCTCAGCTCCTTCTCAGGCCCTCGCAATAACAAGGTGAGGCTGTGGGTTAGGGTTGGTTCCATCTCTGCCAGGTGCCCCCTGCTTGATCCCACTCCTCCCTTCCCTTCACAGGTGTCATCCCAACAAGGCCTTTTTGTCGGCAGCTCTGGCTCAGCATCTGTTTCCCAGGGAATCAGGCCAGTGCTAGTGACACTTGTGTCAGCACAATCCATGTGACTGCACCAACATACAGGTGACAAGCTTCAGGTTCTGATTAATTGACCCTGTGAACAGTTACCGTTCTTCATTCCTATAATCATCTGGAAATGCCCTTCCAGGCTCAACATTGATGCTTTGCTGAAAGGGTCCAGATTCATGGGTCACCTGAAAGTCACCTTCACGTCCTCCTGGTCTAAGTCCAGACTAGCTCAAGGGCTGGCCACCCAGGTCTGAGAGAGCATATTTTACCATTGACTCTGCCTCAGTCTGCTCAGGCTACCATAGAAAATACCACAGATTTGGTGGATTAAACAGCAGGCATTTATTTCACATAGTTCTGGAGGCTGGCAGTTTAAGAACAGGTTGCAAGCATGGTTGGCTTCTGGTGAGGACCTCTTCCTGGCTTGTAGACAACTGCCCTCTCATCATGTGCTCACATGGCTGAGAAAGAGCTCTGGTCTCTTTTTATAAGGGCACAAATCCCATCATGGGGGCCTCACCTCATGTTCTCATCTAACCCCAATCACCTCCTAAAGGCCTGACTTCCAAACACCATCACGTGGGGTGTTATGGCTTCATAACACACATGTTCCCCCCAGAACAACAGCTCTAGAACACAATCAACTCCTGGCTGAGTGTCACATTAAATCAGCAACAAAAGCTTGATTTAAATCTTGGACTTTTTAGTGAATCCTTTTCCTAACACAGAAACACCAGTGGTTCAGTTTCATTTTCTCTCTAACCTTTACTATCCAACCAGGATGGAATAATTCTTATTAGTTTGAATTAAATAAAAACTGTAACCTACTTTAGTCCCAGATATATCACATAAACTCAGTTTTTGAATGTATGGTGAAACTGGAAATCACATTTCTCTGGGCATGACTCTAATCTCTTCTGGGGCTGTAGAGAGCCCAGAGTCAGCACCATTCTGACTTAGCAATGTGGGCATCAGGTGCTCAGGAAGACCATTTCACAGTTTTCATTTCTTAACCATTGCACGCAAATTAACACTAAGACAACATATTAATCATCAGACTGTAAGTCATTACAGCTCAGTTACAGCCCCACGTGTCTCCTGCAGGGCTGGCCAGCTATGGCCTGTGAGCCAAACCCATCCCACTGCCCAATTTTGTAAATAAAGTTTCTTCAGCCTACAGCCACACTCATTCATCCACATGTCATCTGCTTCGACAACAGAGCTGAGTAGCTTTGACAGAAGCCACAAGCCTAATGCGTTGACTCTCTGGCCCTTTCTGGAGAAGCAGGCTGCCCCTGAGTCATTGCATGCCTGGAACAGGTAGGACCTCAGTAAGTGTCTGTGAGGTAAATGAAGGAAGCAGGAACTGCCCAGGAGGTAAGAGGACATTGTGCCCCCAGGGCCAATGCTGTGCAGTCAGTCACTGAAGATGCCCCAAAGTAGCCACGAAAACACTTTGGGGTGACCACAAAGTTGCTCTTCCATGCAGAGATGAGTCCCCCTGACCTGGAACAGAAAGCCTGACAGAATGACTGCCAGCCCCAAATTATTTCTCATTTCTCCTGTAATGAACCATGAAGTCCATGAATCCAGCAGTCCAGAAGATCTGACCAAACACCCTGCTGGATGGAAATAGATAGGTGGGCTGACTCCTGACAGGTCCCCTGCCAGCGACGACCTTCTAATTCCGGGGGACTTATGTTCCCCTTCACGTGGCATCCAGCCAGTCTGGAATGATAGAGGCTGGAATTATAGCTAGTGATAGTTAAACCTCACCTGCAAAGATAATTGCTTCAATAAATCCTATTTGTTCAGGAAACAAAGTAGGGCTGAGAGGGCAGCATGCCTCTGTTTTCACTCCTGTAACGCTGGACCAAGATTCTTCCACCTGGGAAACCATTGGTTTTGAAGGAAATTTCTCTCAGACATGAGCTGAGAGACAGAGGAGTCCTGGGAAAAGCCGATGCACCCAGCGGCATGGCTGGGACCCCACCGCCAGCTGCAGTGCTTCCCTCCTCTAGGAAGACGCTTTTCTCTCAGGAAGGCAAGGCTGGTTTTCCCTTCAAGACCAGGGTCTCCCAAACTACCTGCTAGACCCAAGCCTTCAATTTGGTGGGGAAAGTAAATAACGATCTCATTTTGACGGTTCTCATAAGAAATTATATTGAGCAGTTGTTCTCCATCTCCATTGAGATGTGGCAGCCACAGGCACACAGTCCAGAGTTGTTGCCAGTGCTGTTATTACTAACTGACCCCTCATGGACCCACCAGGGCTTCGCGTGGCTGCCTTGTGAGGTCTTGCAGTGTCCCTGTGATAAGAGGAAACTGCCTGAGCAGGGCAACCAGCTGGCTCAGGGTCAGGCAGTGTCATTCACATACCCCTGTCTGCTGACCTCCAGGTCAGTCGGCTAACAGGCCAGTGCCCAAATACACACGGTCTCCAGGGTGCCATTCCCACAACAGCATTCTGAGGGCAGACACAGGATTTCCTCCTTAGAAGACCTTGGAATAATCAACCCCTAGCTGGCATGATTTGAGCATTAGGATGCTTGCTCATCAAGAAAAGGGCAGAGGCACATCCATCTTTGCATCCCACCTTGGGCGAGGTCTTCGACCACTATTTGCTGATTGAATGACATTTGAGAAAATTTAAATGTGACAGTCCAACACCAAAGCAACCTGCTAACTTCAGTAACTTAGGCACAGGATGGGAAATCAGGTTCGGATCTAAGGATATGCTTTCTGTTCTTACCAAGCAGCGTGCCAGAACCATGAGAGCGAATGTTGGCCAGGGACTCAGTTCAATTACCTTTCCAAAAATAAAAAACAAGAAACAAAAGTCTGGGACAAAATACATACAATTTCCTAAAAGGTGCCATAATGTAAATATTTATTCAACAAAACCTAGAAGGATGATCGTGGGACAGTTCTGGGCTTGGCCGGGTGAGTTAGGGCCTCCACCTCTTCCGGGTGGCCCTCTGGCCCACACAGCCCGGGTCCTCTCCTTGATCCCTGCAGGGACCCAGCCTACTCCACAAGATCAGGGCTCTCCTGGATGGTTCTGCTGCGTTTTTCTCAATCTCACTCATATAAGGAGCAGCACAGTAAGCCTGTTTACACCAGCATCACCACCAACATGTGAGTAATTCCTTGTGCTATGATATTTGATGGCTTCAAAGTCACTAGGTGATAGCTTTTTCAGCTCCATTATAATCTTATGGAACCACCACTGTACATGCGATCGCTCATCGAAACGTCATTTTGTGGCACATGACTGTAATTATTGATAGTCTCTTCCATCTCAGGCTTCCACACCATTAGACAAAATAAATGTAAAAGGATTTCACAGTCTATAACAACAAGCTGGAAAATTCTGTCATAATCTTTTAACACAGGCGGGTTTGAACTATAAAAACTGGGAAGTCATGAGTCAGTGGATTTCAAGATGTATACTATCTTGTCAAGTTTAAAGAAAGCCCTGAGGAAAGTTGCTTGGGGTGTTGAAGAATTTGATCTTAATTGATGTGAGTGTGAGTGTGAGTGTGTGTGTGTGTGTGTGTGGGTGTGTGTGTGTGATGCAGAAAATGAAGAACAGTGAGAGAAGGAAAGAGCAATGGGCAAACACAAACGGAGAGAGAAACAGTGATGGTCTCTGAGCAGTTCTGTGACATGAAATTTTAATTTTGTATGCAGATCTCTTAAACACAGAAAAGCAATTGAGAACAACATTAAAATGATGGAACTCACTAGGTGCCGAGCGGCGAACACACCGTCCACGATGGCACAGCAGAAGGCGGCCACCACGCCGAAGCTGATGAACACGATGGCTGCCACCAACTGGAAGCAGAAGAAAAAGGAGGGCGTGGGCATCCAGTGTTTAACAAAACCCTTTTATGAAATACAAACCAATTCAAGCCCACCCTGATGGTAGCGGCGCCTTTTGCAGAATTGTCACTTCTTCACCACCAGCTTCTGTCCTCAATGACGTTCAGTTCAGGACAGATCCGAGGCCAGATTTCACCCCATACAAGGTACATTCTTGCTGATCTTATATCACACACTAAATAGGCTGCCTTGTGGATGGGAGAGCATGTTCAGCTGTACACTTCTGTACACTCCTGCCCCCTGTACACTTCTCATGAATAATCAGGGTTTATTTAACCAGTGCCTACAATGGATGGGTATTTAAACAATTTGCAATTTCTTGCTATTACAAACTCTGCTACAAAGACACTAAGTACTATATTCCTGGAACATTCAAGAACCCATACTTTTAGATAGGACACAGTTTGTGTCTCTGCTCTTGAGAACCTGAGCGAGAAGGATACACTGACCCACAAAGAGGCTTTGCTAGTTTGACTTCCTCCAACAGTTAAACACCCATATCCTTATATCCTGAATGACACTTCATATTGTTAATCTTTTAAGTTTTGCCAATCTGATGCACAAAAAAAAGTTGTCATTTTAATTTCCATTTGCATTTCTCTATTATTAGTAAAGCTGAGAATCTCTTCTTACAGTTGTTGGCCATGTCTTTACATTTTTTCTTATGAGATAACTTCAGGTTTACCAAAACAAATAGCAAAAATAGTACAAAGAGGGCCAGCCGAGTGGCGCGATGGTTAAGAGCTGGCTTGGGATGCCAGAGGGCCCCGGTTCGGATCCCACATATGAGGGCCAGTGACACTGCCCTCTACAGCTAAGATGCTGAACAACAGCTCAACCTGGAGCTGGGCTGCCGTGAGTCGCCGGCGACGGCGTGGGCTGCAGCCCCTGCGGCAGTGGGTTGCCATGGGCTACCGTGTGTAGCCAGCAGCCAGCGTGAGTGCCAGCAGCCACAGTGAGTGGCCGTCCAGAAGCCGGCGGCTGATCTGCCTCGCCCGGGAAGAGCGCAATGATGGTGCCAACTTGGGCCAGTGAAGCGACATCCTCCACAACTAGACTGAAGAACAAAAGGACAGCAACTTGTCTGTTCCCCTTCCCCCAATTCCCCCCCCCCAAAAAAAATCTTAAAAAAAAAAACAGTACAAAGAATTCCTGTACGTCCTTCCCTCAGATTCTCACACCTTCAAAACCACACCAGTGACCTTCCTTATTTGTAACTTCTCTCTCCAGCAGCAAGAACCTGCTCTCATGATCCACAATGTATGTATGTATTTATTGACTCTGCTCTAGAATATGCATCAAGTAATTGTGGAATTACTAACCCAGGCCACGTGAAAAGCAAGCTACTCACTGGAGTACAATATTTGTGTGTAATCCTTTTTTACTTTAGTCTTAGAGGATATGGTCAAAACCAGTTTTCCCACATGACTTAGTTTGGTTCTTTCTCTGTGGTTGAGTTACTCATTAATAATGCAGTCAGGCTCACTGGTTCCTGTATTCCCTATGGCCCTCCCCCACTCATCCTTGTTAATCTGCATTATTTATTTGTTCAACAAAGTATAGGGACTTGGTAAGAAATGTTGCCTAGTTTGACACCCCAGAACTTTGCGTGTCAGCTTTGACATGAAACCCCCAATAACTACTCCAGGGAACAGATGCTGAGACCCAAGGCACCGTCCATGCTGCTGTTCCAACGTAGAAGGAAGCAGGCGGTTCGGTGCGCAGGCCTTGGGTGCAGCCCCTCCAATCACACCTCCACTCCAGCCCCCACATGTTGCTTCCAAATGAAAGCAGTCCCCTGACATTGCAAATCAGAGCTGTTGCCCGAGTCCCTTTAGGGGCATCTCCAAACTGGTGAGCTTTTTTGTCCTCAGTTTCCACATTTGGAAAAGGAGGTACCGGGCTATGACTTATCAATACATTGAATAAATGCTTCCAGATACCCAAGCCAGTCTAGGTGCTGTGGGTACGGATGTGACAAAATCAACAGGTGTCCTTGGTCCTTCCCCATAGTAAGAGATTTTATGATGAATTGACTAAAAGGGAATTTGGGGACTCCCTGAAGGGAGCTGTGCCTGTATAAGCCTTGATCTGAACTACAAAAAATGATTTCCTGTTGGCCCTTCTCCAGTGCCATGGCAGTTTTCAATCTGACTATTCTGCACAACTTCTCTGAGTCAACTGACTCAATAATGATTCAGTAGCTGTTCTGTGTGTTGGAGAGAAGCAGAGATGAGTGAGATGGAGCCCCCACTGTGAAGGACCGACGCTTCAGGGCGGTACCCACTGTAACAAAAGTAAACCAAGAGCTCTGGATGCACGCAGAAAGGGAGGACTCATCTCACCCTGAGGATGAGGGAAGGCCTTGAGCTAGCCCTGGAAAAATAAGCCAAATTTCCTCCAGAGGCTGCACCAGCCAGGAGCTGCGTTACCTACCACACAGCATTCGAAGTTCACCAGTGTTAAGGAAATGTAGACAAAAATGCTTCCTTCATCTCGATGGGAAAAGGAAAACCCGTATAGCTTCTTCCCCTATGAAATTACTACATACAAATAAAACAATTATGATGTAAAGAGTTATGTAAACATCATTGAGAAATTATACCTAACGGAACTTTTGCACTGCTATTATGAAAAAAATACATTAAAACACAGACAAAAGACTCAGAAGGCAATTTTCAGATTTCCCAGTGGGGAGGCCAGGTATCTCTACCAAAGGAAAGTGGAAAGCCTGCACCTGCTTTGGCTGCCGTGTCCTCCCAGCCTCCTCTTTGGACCTTCCTGCCACTCCCAGATGGATGGTCTTTGTCCTCACTCAGCTCACACCCATCGGAGATGAAATACTAAGCCCCACAGTGCATGCTTTTCTTTCAGTAGGCCTTGCACCACGAGGCTGCACCATCTCATTTTACAGTCATCTGGGAGAGAAGGGCGTACATCCCCATCACTCCTGCTGAGGATGCTTCTGTGACTAACTACAAGGTCCCTCAGCCCAGGACAGGTGACAGGAAGGACACGGCTCGCACTCTGTTCCATAAGCGCACCTCCCAACTCTTGTTGGGCAGAATTCTCAGCCAAAGAGGACAAACAAGAAGGGACTCAAAGATGAACAAAATCACTTGAGAGCTGCCAAAGTCCTTTAGCACAGGGCATCCCATCTAATCCTCACAACTGTGACATTATTACCTGAGAAACTTCCAGAACTGGAACTGCACATGACCCACTGATGCCCCGTTAGCTCTCTCACCACAAGTGTGCAGCCAGAGTTGTTGGACCCTTGCCCTGGTTAGTTCATGATGTACCAACTTGATGACTCCTCAGAGAATGCCATACTCCATGTCGTGGTCAGGTGGCCAGCTCTGGCCCAACTGTGCCTGATCATAGTCTGGACAGCTGAGAGACCTTCCACCTGATTTCATCCAGAACTTCACAGAAAGCACAAAACTCCCAAAGTATCTTTTAACATTGCAGGACTGCCCTCACCTGTCTGGATTTATAAACGTGTTCTGATTTGGTCTTGCACAAACCGTCCCCACTATTTGAACGTCCTCATCAACTTTCAGCTGGTTCTGCCTGGTTGTACTTCCTCCCACTACCTCTGCAAAAGTAAAACTGAGTGCCAGCAAGACCACCCATATAGTAAACTCAGTGCTAGCATGATCATATATGTGATAAATTCAGCGCTGGGGTGGTCACATGCATGATACTGCCCGAGAACGTCTCTGGTGTGTAAACCCCAGGGTCCAGGTGACAGTGTTGAGAAAAACGTTGGAAATTCTCTCCTCTGGCTCCTCAGACTGGAAATGCAAAACTCGCCAAAATCAGCCACAGAAGAGTTGCCTCTCAGGAAAGTGTCCTCCTTGGCTTTTGTGTCACAGCTACTTCTATCCTTTCCAGGCATTGCTAACTCTCCTTCAAGCTAAGTAGTGAATTCAACAGTACAAAGCCAGAAGAATGCACACAGCAGAAACTGATCAGTTCCAAATCATTTTCCATTATATGTGAGGACTGCCAGAACCTATGGATTTTGCAAATAGAAACTGTGACTCTAGCAACACTAAAAGTTTCTAGATTAAGGTTGTGACTATATTTCATTGCGCTGTTTGGGGTCTCTTCTCTTGGGAGAAGGGCAACCACCTTATTCAGTAGGGGAAAGGTCACCTTGAAATCTCTGCTGGGCTCATGGAGTTGCATTCCAACAAAGGAAAGTAGATTAAAAAAACAAATACCAAATAGATAGATAAGGTTGTGGTGCTAAGAGGAGAAGACGGAAAGAAAACAGGGTAAGGTGAGAATGTATCACTGGGAAGGTTGTCACTTGGAGTGGTGAGGACTCTGTGTGTCCCTCATCCCTTATGGTACATAGCAAGCTCTCGATAACTATTCATTTAAATGACATGCATCTTTCCAGACACACAGGTGCTATAACCCATTGCGTGAAGTTAACCTTCCAATTCAAAAGAGAGAGGCCTCTGTAGGAAATCTTGCTGGCTGTCCACCCAGCATCCACCCCTCCTTTCTTTCTTCCTAACTAATGTTGATTGTGTTCTGGTCTCTCACTTCCACACTAGTCATGTCCCTTTGGGAAGCTGATACCACCCAGCTCCTAAGTGAGACTGTTGGTGAGTTAATTCAATGGCAGGGGTTGGTTTAGAAATGAGTGTAGACCTGACCAGTGAGATATGAAGGAAGGTCTGTTGAGATACAAAGGAAGGTCTGTTACAGACTCTAGGAAAATTGTCTTCTCCCTAAGAGAATCAAAGGAAGCCACCTCCTTCTTTCTTCCTCAAGATGCTGCTGTATTGGCAGACTAACAGCCCTGAGGAGGGCCGAGTGGAAAGAGAGAAGGAACTGGGGCCTCAGGACAAACTGAGCCATTGAATCAGCCAACCATAAAGCCACCACTCTAGACGTCCTGAAGGGATGCAAATCCTCACAGCCTCTGCCAGTTAAGGCTGCAGTGTATATTACATTTGCAGTGGGCAATTCCATGGCTTCTCCATTCACGCCCCCCCCCCACTCCAACTCTCCACTCTTCTCCCAAACTCAACCAAACTCTGGAAAGGTGTAAGTTGCAGCGTCTTCAGGGGAAGGTGTCACTCAGGGTCCTTTGTCTTTCAGACCATCCACTACAGGTGTGGCCCCAGCAGTTGAGTGAAGAAGGTGAAGAAAACATTACTGGGTAAGGCACTGCAGGGAGGGTTCACCCTTGGAATATCGGGCAGGCCAGCAGGGACCACATTCTGAGATGAACTGACACCCATGAGGGGCTCCCTATATCCGTGTCCAGGCTCCTGAGGTGGGGTGTGGGAGTCTGAGGTTGGATGGTGTGTGACCGGGGCCACTGCACTCCCTCTCCTGCCCTCCAGGACAGCAAAGGTCAAGCACGGCCCCGCCTCATCTGCTCAGCCTCTAAATGGTTCGCTGTGACATTGGCAGGTTTCCTACCTGATGACCTTCGGATCTTCCCAGTGCAGTGGTCTAGGACCTGGGAATATGGTGCCATGTCTACCCTGCCTGAAGTCCTGTGGTAGTCCCTTTGTTTCAGCCCCACCCAACTCAGTCTTGAGAGTGGTGAAGACTGTCTGGGCTTCTATATGAGAAGGTAAAGGGCTGGACGTCCCCCAGTAAGGATGATGAGATTCCCATTATGTCAAGACCCGAAGCACAGACATTAGGCAGAAGAGTGGGGATAAGCAGGAATACTCTCAATATAACACTCAAAAGAACAGGGAAAAAACAGTTATCTCTAGACCAGCTAGCCAAAGGCTGATAACCTAATCCTCTGAAGGAAATGTTTTTTAATCTATAAGCTATTCTTATTAGTCTCATTGGTTCCTCTGATTCAGTGGATTTTAAATTATATTCTAGAAGAATTCCTCTCTCTCTCTCTCTCTCTCTCTCTCTCTCTCTCTCTCTCCACAGATATGGGGTGGGGTGGGGAGGCTCAGCAGTTAACAAACTTCTTAGGCCCTTAACTTCTCCATCTTGGCCATTGATATCCTTTGGCCATGCTAGACTATAGAGCTATTCATGAAATCAATGATTCATATGTCTGTTTGGGCGAGGAGAAAGTAATAACTCATTCATGAATGGAAAAATACCAAATGCTGACTCAATTTGGAGCGTTCTTTGGATATCACTGAAGACTAACATAATAATGGGTAGAGATAATGGTGAAACCACTTCTAATGATTAGATTCCACCCCTTAAATTGAACAGAGTGAAATGATACCATGCAATGATATCATTACGGATGAAATGATACTATGTCTGGGATTTGCTACAAAATAATATGAGAAGGGAAGAAATGGGTGGGAGATGAAAGGAGATTGGCCCTGAGTCAACAGTTGATGAAATCGGGAGGTGGGTACAGAGGGGTTCATTATATTAGTCTGTCTACTTTTGAATAGGTTTAAAATGTTCTGTAGTAAAAAATTAAAATAAAAAGAAATGAAGAAACAAGAAAGCATTCTCTATATTTAGATGCATTTGAAACAACAAGCACTCTCTCTTTAGCTGACATTTTCTCAGCCAGCTATTGTCTCCTTTTGAAACAACTTGAATGTCCTGACTAACCTATGTGCTTAAACACAGTATATAACGATGGCTACTATTTTCTAAACACCTGTTATGGGCCAGCGCCATGCTAGGTGTCCTCACACGCATTAACTCACATGCTCCCAACAAACCTGACAATGAAGAAACTGAGGCTCAAAATAGACAAGTAAGTTTCCCAAGATCACACAGCTACTAATTGTAGACACAAGTTTTGGCTTTCATAAATATTAAATTAAATGTTAGATAGTGAAATATATGTTTACCACACAAAAGTTAGCCTTGGAAGAATGCTTTTCCTGAAAAGGCAGTTGTAGGCATCACAAACAAGGCCAGTCAGGAGGCTCTGCTCTGAGGAACCTGGGTGGCCCCCTGTTTACAGGGAAGTTTACTGGGATTCCAGACCCCACACTGCTCTGGCAACTGCTGTCACTTCTGGATTTTCCTCCTTTCACTCCAAGGCCCACATTTTTTTTTTTAATGAAAAACCATAGAAATGGACCTCCAGTAACCAGACTGGAAAAAAGTAGCAAAACTATTTCTATTTGTAGATGACATAACCTTATAGATGGTCAGTCCTAAGGACTTCACTAAAAATCCATTAGAACTAATAAATTAGTTCAACAGGGTTGCAGGATACAAGACCAACACAGAAAAATCAATTGTATTTTTATACACTTGCAATGAACCTCAAAAATGGAAGTTAAGAAAACAATCCCATACTACACAGCCATTAAAAAAAAAAGATGAAATATTGCCATTTGAAAAAAACAATGTACTTTCTTACCATTTGCCTTCGATTCTCCACCAGGTTGATGCCAATAATTCCTAAGAAAGATCCAAAGCCCAGCTGAGAGCAAAAGAAAAACAAGGGAGAAAGCATCTGGTTAGCATGCCTGGTGGCTGGATGCTGACATTTAACAGTAAAAAATGCACAGGAGACTGCCACCCTTCAAACATTTGATCCAAGGGCCAAGACCAGCCATCCCCACCTCACCAAGTTTTGACCACTGAGTGGCGGATGGCTTCATGCACATTTGGGTTGGCTTCTCGGGCTCCATCAAAGCTGGCAATTGGACGAGAAAGTGCTGAGACATGATCCATCTCATCTTCTACGTTCCAACACTTTAACTCTTACATGGGTTTAACTCTTGACTACAGGAAAAGAGAGCATTATGTGCCCCCTTCCCCTCACAGAGGACAACCTCTTCACAGTAGCCCAGCCCACTCACAGCCCATCTTCTGCATCTGATCATCAGGTGAAAGGCCCACCTGATGTGTCTCCTAGGCCTGTCCCAAGTCGCATAGTTGGAGGACTCCTCAGGTAAGAATACTAGAAAACTAGAACCATGGGTATTTCAAAATAAAAGTTGCCAGTCACCCACGGACATGGCTAACACGGCTCAGAGATGAGCTTTGGACTCAGGTGAGCAGGCAGACAGGTAACCGTGGGGAAGGAGAGGAGAAAGAAAAAGGAGGGCGTCGAGCGGCTCCTGAGAATCATTCCTCTTGTTCCTTGAGAGAGCCGAGATCACAGCTGCCCAGGAGGAAGTGATGCTGGGGTGCTGGGGAAAACATACACGTGGCTGTCTTCATCTCAAAATGCAGGATCTAAGGGCTGGGCACCAGGATCCCTCCACTTCAGTGTGTCCAGGGGACACAGGTATACCTCATTCTTCCATGTCTACTTGGTGGAAGAATTTCTTAAATATTGCCCCCCCCCCAGCTTGAGGAATGCAGTTTTAGCAATGCCCACAGATGACGCTGCACAGAGCAGCTTGTGACAAGCTTCTCACAGACAATGTGAGACCGCTGCACTGGGACCCTGCATTAGAGCCCTTCTCACTGGGCAGGTGAACCCTGCCCATCAGACTTCCAAGGGACCATTTGGGACAAGCCTGGGGACAGCTAACCAGTCTCTAAGGCCATGGTATCAAATTTAACGCAGTAAAAATCAGACCTAGGTATGTCTACAGATGTCTTTATCTGAAATGATATGTATGGAGATGGGCATGGAAGCACAGATGACGTTTTCATCAATAATTTAAGAATTCTCAAGGAGTAACAAGAAAAAAATGTTTTCTTCGTGTGGAACTTCAAAATATCACAGTCTAACTCCACAGTTCAAAATTTCATTCCAACATAAATGTATTAAAATATATCTATTAAGTTTCACTGAGTTCCACTTTTTTTGGACATGAAAAAAAAATCCTCTTTCCAAAATGTTGAGTTTAGCCCATTTCTTCCTGAGACCCACTCTTTCCTGTAAGTCTCTAAGTTGGACACAGGATCTCCATGGAAGTGACTTTTATCCACATTTTCTTTAAGTGAATTTCATCTATCATCTCCATAGTTTACTTTAAGAACCATCTGGGCCGAAGCTTATTTCATTCTGGTCGTTGCCCAAGAATCAGGTCCTTGACAGAGCATGGCTCTGACTACAACCAGGATGGACGTTCTCAAGGTGGGGAATCCTGAACAAGTGAAGCTTAAAGAACAAGCAAACAGCTACTACTCAACACTGATCCTGAAACTTTGCAAATGATTTGGGAGGATCCATCCTTACAGCCACTACCTGCAACCCCACCCCCACCCTTGCCCCCCAATTCCGGGCTCCCCCTCCCATCCAGGACACATGGCAGCAAAGTGGCGTCTCCAACATGACATTGGCTTCATGAGATTTCACTGATAAAACTTTTTCTGTACAGACACTGTTTACACAGAGGGTGCCAAAAAATGTATACACGTTTTAAGAAAGGAAAACTATTAAAATTGTAATACTCAATATATACAGATAACAAAAGATGATTACAAGTCACGTTTGACTTCTGCAATTACAAGGGGTGCTCAAAGTGGTTACCATCAGCGCCCAGACACTTCTGATTACGGCAAACTACTGCTTGAGCAACATTGACCAATGTGTCCACTTGTATAAATTATATATATATAGATAACGTCGAGATATAAAGCAGACAAAAAATAAAAATAAAAGGTAATATAAAGACGAAATGAACAATATTTGTAAAATATTTTTAAATATTAAGAGTACCAAAAACCTTTTCCTCCTTGCTAAAAATGTTATCGATATTATTACTAATCTTGATAATACTTTTGGTGAGAGTAACATAATTAAATAAGCTTGATTTTAAAAAAATCTTTGTTTAGCACTTTAGGTGCTAAACACAGCAGCTCAAGGTTCCGGTGCATTTTAAGGGCATCATAACTGACATAAAAGGCAATTTCATAGATGCTCCCTGTACACAATGCGGACCCTTGGAGCAAATTTTATTGCTAACGAGAATGGATGTGAGTTTACAGGTCAAAAAATCTTTCTGATAATTCTAAATTTAGGTGACCAATTCATGCCAGATCTGATTAGCTGTCATTTTCCTGTTGTTCCCACGTGATATCATGATTAATGTAATCTTCAATCGAGATTCCTTGGCAGGTGCCTTTTAAACCTATATGTCCGTTTTCTGAGGACTACTCTGGTCAGCTTGGTCTCACGGGATAAAATCCAGGTGTCACAGGGCTGGTTCCCCCTGGAGGCTCTGGGGGAGAAACTGGGCCAGGCCTTTCCCGGGTCCAGAGCCATCACACTCCTTGACTCGTGTCTCTCTTTCCATTGTCAACATCTGTCATCGCATGGCTCTGACACCTCTCCCAGGCCCACCTTCACGGCTAAGGACCCTGTACTAACACTGATCCACCTGGACGATGAAGGGTCATCACTCCCTCTCCAAGCCAGCTGACTAGCTGCCTTAACATTCCCCCTGCTGTGTAGCCCACCACCACCTTCACAGATCCCGGGGAGGAGGACACAGATGCCTTTGGGGTCATTATTCTGCCAACCACAACCACCAACAGACGTTCCCATGCCCTAAACCTCCAACTCTGTGGAGCTGGAGCAGAGTATGTCACCACCCCCACAGCAATCTGTGGTGCCCAGTGCCCCTTTCACAGATGCCGGGACCACGTCACTCACAATGATCCCTGGGTAGTAGCCCCCAACAGTCACGTTCTCCGTCCTGGTGGTGGCAGCGAGGCCGATGGTCAGTATGAAGATAGACAACACCAGCAGAGACCCCACAAACCAAAGGGAAATCTTCTTTCTTCTCACAAACCCTTCTGGGAGGAGGACAAACAAGGAAGCCGTTAGTAAGAGACAGGGTTCAGAAAGCGGGTCCTAGCAAACACGAGTGCATTCAGTGTTCATGTGGCCCTTCTCTCTGAACCCAGCAGGCTCTGGAAGGCCTCTTGGTCCTAGAGCCTGGGACTCAAACCCATGTCCTCTCCTCTGTCAGTGCCAACCTCAAGTGTACTGAAGCTTAACCATCATGATCCTTGGGACTCCAAAGCAAAAGAGGAGATGAAAGGAAAACGTGATGTTTCTTCCTATGCCAAAGTTTTTAAGTCAACAGTGTGTGTGTGTGTGTGTGTGTGTGTGTGTGTGTTTAATGGGGGAAGAAGTGGCATATTTGATTATAACTGCTAGCTCAGATAACCACTTGAATTGCTGGCATGCAGACATTTTTCACACTTTAGAAGGTTTGCCTCCGAAGATTTACACGTGTACAGTTTTATCAGCAAAGTTTCATGGCAAGTCAAGGTTACAACACCCAAGAATAGAATTGTTACACACTCAGAAATAAATTACACAAAACTATATAAATCAATGTGCAAACTCAGAATAACTTGGCTAGATGGGAGTGCGCCGTTTTTATCCAGCTGACCTAGCAAGGTCGTATGTCTCAGGACACTTCATTCCGGAGGCCAAGGGGGACCTCATGCGAGACACCCCCCCCCTCTCTTCACCAGCACCCGTCTCAAACTCAACACTTACTCCAGACCCTTGTGAAGACACTTCTCCCAAGAAGCTCATCCAAAGTCACCTCTATTACTTTCACCCTGGAGAAGACGAGATCAATTCATTCACTAAGATTATAAACCACCAGCTCCCAACCAACCAGCAGGTGTCAGGCCCAGGTGCTGCCCACAGCTCCCAGGTCCTCAGGATGGTGGATTGGCAGCAGGAAGGGCTCCCCTCTGCTCACGTGGTCCTGTCCCCAGTGTCATCTGCAAGCCCTGGCCCAGTCCCTTCAGGCTCAGGTGTGAGTATCTGGGATTCAAATCCCAGCCTTCTGGCTCCAGAGCTCCTTCCATTAAGCACTCCTCTCTCTGCCCCGCTAAGAACACAGGTTATCTCCTGTGTCCACAGGGATTCTCTTACCTGCCCCTAGCTGCACCCTGAGAGAGCTGGGCTGCTGCAGGGTTTTGAGCAGAGGAGGGAGGGGCTCTGGTTTCCATTTTTTCTGATTTCTGCAGCAATGTGGTTGTTATGGTGAGAGCACAAACTACAGAGGAAAAAGGTTAGACAATAAAACGTGCTCTGAAGGCTCACGCCTATGAGGATGGACCAGCCTGAAAGCTCTGACAGTGCAGTAAATGGCAGAGCCTTCCCTAAGCAGGGGGGGGGTGGGGGGGTAGCCCGCTAACAACAGCACAGTGCATTCCTCAACAAGAGCAGTGGGTAAAGCAAGTCTTCTAGGCCCTGTCATGGCCCTCACTTCAAAAGGCTACTCCACTTCAACAACAAAGTCGTCCTGATTACAGCCCCCAGGGGCCAGTCACAAGCCACATCCATCATTTAAGCCTCTCACACCTGCACTGGCAGTGGGCTCCTACTCCCACCATGGCAGCTTCTGCAGAGGTTTTGCTGAATAAGCACTGGGGGGATGAGCAATGAATGGACCCATGAGTGGACACACAAGTGGATGCACAGGGCCAGAGATGACACTGACTGCCCACAACTACGCCACAGGCCACATCACTCAGATATGGGTTCTGCAACATCTCCAGTGATTCTAAGCTCAGCACGTATTCTAGTGACACCCCCTACCTCATGTCCATCCAGTCATCACCAGACATCCCGAGGCCCACCATCCCTCTCAAGGTGCTCTGTCCTGAGGACACTGGCCAAACACTAACCTGTGTAGCCTGATGCCCAGCCTACTGCTGCATTCTTATCAAGAGGACAGGCCCTGCTTGCTATGTGAGTAGAAGCAAGTCACTTCCTGTACCTGCTGCTGTTTTGTAGATGGTGAGGACGTTCCAACTCAAGTCGCGGTACGCCAGAGTATCTGAGAGGTACCCTGACTGATGAATTACGTCTGCCCCAGACATGGGAGGAAGGCGCCAGGGCACACTTGCCAGGCAAGCCTGAGCCTCTCCAGCTCTGGCATTCGTGGATTATCTCCCCACCTGTGTTCTCTCTTCCCAGCTTCGTACTTCTTGCTTTCCCCCCACATCGAACTGTTTCAGTTACCTCAGGAATTTGTCTTTGCCACTCCTCTCATTATATTTTGGAACTAAAAACCAAACCTAATTGGGGCTAGAAAATATTACCAAAGTGATAATTACATTTTTTACAAGGAAAAGAAAGACTGTAAGTTTTATAATTAAAGTGTATGGTTTTAATTCTGCTCATAAAAGCAGTAGTTATTTTTTGTAGACCATTTATAAAGTACAGGAAAATACAAACAATTAAAATTAAATTAAAATAGAATTTGCAATAACCCCATAACCCAAAGTTGGCATGTGGGCATATAACATTATTGTCTTTCTTAAATCCGCACCAAAATGTTTTAAAATCTGTTTTTTTCATTTAATAAACTGTAAAAATTTGTCCTACTTCTGAAATACTTTCTAAACATAAGTCTTATTCATCATAGTGTATTCCACTAAATAGATGTGTCAGTTAACCTATCCCTACTGTTGTATCTTTGCATTATTTCTAATTTTGTATTATTAAAACACAATTTGGAGGAATGAACAGGTGGAGCACAGGGGAGTTTTAGGGCAGTGAAATTACCCTGTGTGATACTATAATGGTGGATACGTGTCATCATACATTTGTCTAAGCCCATAGCATGTATAACACCAAGACTGAACCCTAGTGTACACTATGGACTCTCGGTGGCAGTGATGTGTCAATGTAGGTTCATGGATTGTAATAAATGTACCACTCTGGTGGGGGTGCTGATAATGGCGGGGGCCTTGCACGTGTGGGGGCAGAGGATATATGGGAACTCTGTATCTTTCCCTCAATTTTGCTCTGAACCTAAAACTGCTCTCAAACATAAAGTCTGTATTTTTTTAACAACCACAACATGACAAGTATCTTTGTGTAAAATCTTTCTGTCACCTCTAATCACTTTTTAGGATACATTTCTACAAGTGGAATTGCAGGGTTAAATATTTTTTAAGGAGAGGGCCGGCTGAGTGGCGCGATGGTTGAGAACTGGCTTGGGATGCCAGAGGGCCCCGGTTCGGATCCCACATATGAGGGCCAGTGACACTGCCCTCCACAGCTAAGATGCTGAACAACAGCTCAACCTGGAGCTGGGCTGCCGTGAGTCGCCGGCGATGGCATAGGCTGCAGCCCCTGTGGCAACGGGTTGACATGGGCTACTGTGTGTAGCCAGCAGCCAGCGTGAGCGGCCAGCAGCCGCAGTGAGTGGCCGTCCAGAAGCCGGCGACTGATCTGCCTCACCCAGGAAGAGCACAATGATGGTGCCAACTTGGGCCAGTGAAGCAACGTCCTCCACAACTAGACTGAAGAACAAAACGACAGCAACTTGTCTGTTCCCCTTCCCCCAATTCCCCAGCACTGTTCCCATCCCCCCAATTCCCCAATAAAAAAATAAAAAAATCTTTAAAAAATATATATATATATATTTTTTTAAGGAGAAAGTAAAAGCTTTGAAGTAAAATTTAACCTTACAAAACAGAAGATAAACCTATACACTCTTTGTACAAACTTTGGAAAGAGCGTCTTCCTCTACAAGCAAAAGAAGTAAATACAGCTTTATCTGATTGTAGTTCAATTGTTCTTTTCATTGTTGTCTCCTAGTAGTTTTTATTATAAATATGTAAGAATCATTGAGGGTGCATGAAGCATTTCTAGGAGTGTCCTACAGGAAAACAGCCTCAAGTGCAAGCAGACAGTTGATGCTCTTTGAGAAACAGTACATTTGCGCGTGTTCTGTGAGATCCCTAGATCCCTTGTTACTATTTACAGCATCTTAGTTGCAAAGAAATGTGCACGCAAAGAGCAATGACTTTTTTTTTCTTGAATTTGTTTAAAGCCTGACCAAGGATATATGTACAAGGTAGTTTGCCGCAGAGTCAGGTAGATCAGCAATTCCGGGGATGATGGCAGCAGATCTGGGATGTCTTTGGGGAAACAGAGGACTGAAATGGCAAAGCCACTTTGAGAACAAGTGAGTGAGAAAGAGAAAAAAAAAGAAGCTTCTCCATGGGTGAAATTCCACTCTGGTTAATTAACTTTAGAAAGGTAGGTAAATTGATTTTTTAAAAAGGACACAAAAGTTAAAAATGTATCTTCTACATAGTGAACTATTTTTGTGGAAGTTCATAAAATGATCATATTAATGATAGTACTATCTAGTAAGTGGGTAGCCACTTTAGCTTTTTTCACAACAGTCTAACTTTCTTTTCTCATTCAGTCATGACCAGAGGATTAACCTCGCATTTTCCGGATTGCCCTTACCAGCTTTCAAATATCTGTGAATGGAGACAAATGTCAATTGCTTTTTTTTTTTTAATTGGGGAATAAGGGGGGATGGGAACAGTGCTGGGGAATTGGGGGAAGGGGAACAGACAAGTTGCTGTTGTTTGTTCTTCAATCTAGTTGTGGAGGATGTTGCTTCACTGGCCCAAGTTGGCACCATCATTGCGTTCTTTCCGGGCGAGGCAGAT